GGGGGCATCAGTGGATTAGGGATAAGCGAAAGGCCATTTTTCCCGCTAATGCCCGCGTTTTTGACATTGGAGATGAGAAGGGAAGTTGAGTTTTTCCCGGGCAGAAATAATCTTCATTTCCTTGGACGACGCTTAATCGCCGTCACATGGCTGTTCCAAGCGTCGCTCCCCTCTAATTTTCGCCTCGGAATGTCTCCATTCGTGAAAAAAAAAAGGCGGAAGAAAGGGGGAAGGGCGAGTTGAGAGATGAATATGCGAGATGGAATAATACGACCCTGGTGGGAGTGGCGGGAAGATTGGAGAAATAATTGGGTCCGTTTCCCTCGAGATCCTCCTCTCGGGGATCCTCCTCTCGGAGACCCTCCTCTCGGAGATCATCATAGCCCGTGGTCACTCCTATGACCTTTTCCATTCCCAGCTTTTTTCCCCCCCTCTCCCTCGAGGACTCTTCCTGGAAAAACATACCATATTGCCCGAGCCCGGATGGTTTTTAAAAAAGAAGATAATTGAAATGGAAACCTCATTGCGATGCGGGGGAACAGTTGGCTCAGCCATCTGCGTCTGTTTACCTCAATTCCCTACGGTTTGCTTTCTTTCGAAGCTCCAATTTTCTTTTTAGTCCGCTTTTTGAAAAAAATTTTTCACACTGGGCTTATCAAATTTGCATCGAGAACGTTCCATCCATCAGTACATGTCCCCAGAGAAAATTCCACCGAGGATCTAGAAGGAGTTGCTGGAGATCCCCTCGACATCCCGGATCCGTGTCAGGAATCAGATAGCCACAATGCCCTTGAGAGGGACAGAACGGAAGTCCGATTACCTGAGTCCCTTCCATTTTTCATGGGATTACTCCTCGGACATGTCCCGCGGAAATGGATGGAGACACGGAAAGATGAGGCCGAACCCTGATCCGATATATTATATATTTTTCAATTCAGGTGAAGCAGTAATGACTCCATGCGCCCCCGAGGGAGGACTCCTCTTACCCATCCTCACGTCTCCTCCTCGTCTCCTCTTCGTCTCCTCCTTCCCTCACTGTAATCGCATTTCGCGAGGAAGAGTCCTCCCCGATTCGATTATAGTTTATCGTCTAATTCTCCCACCACGAGCCTGATGCATATACATAAAGGAGAATATGTTATTTCCTTTCGTCCCTCTTTCCCCAGAGCACTTCCTCCCTTCCCTTCCTCCCTCTCACCCTTCCTCCATTCCCTTTTTCTCTTATTTTATTTACATATGAGCAAGTGGGGATGAATGATGGAAGGCATATGGTCCGTAATTAGGTATCTAGTGCGTTCTGCCTCTTCGCATTCGTTTCTTCGACACTTTCCGCCTTTGCACGTGTTGCTAAGTCGTTTATTCATGCTTCTGGAATGATCTCACATGATCCCACTCCTCTCAGATGATAGCGGCGAGAGGTGACAAGCTCCTCGTGGACTAGTTCGATAAGGAATTATGGAAGAGAAGAAAAAAAAAGAAGAAGCAGTTCGTCGAGGTGCCCAAATTCAGGCGAGCTCCTTGAGGTGCTCAAATTCAGGCGAGCTCCTCCAGGTGCCCAAACCCTGACAAGTTCCTCGGGACTGAGGTTTTCTTTTTCAGTTATCACAGACACGTCGATGCCCCTCCGATCCGAAATATTGAAGAGAGTCAGGACGAGAAGGAACCGCCTCTAGGTCGGCATGAGGGCCAGGAGCAAAGCCAAAGGGACCCCCAGAGACCACAGTCCCTTCGCACACATCACAGATCTCGATTCTGCAACAACGAAAAATCAATTTGAAGTTTGATTTAACTCTTTATGAGTAAAAAAAAAAGACACTATATATTTGAATATATCTTAATATTTATACTTCTATATTTATTATTTCATAATTTTACGTATTCATTCAAATTTGTTTTTTTTTTCTTCTCATGCAAATAATTAATTATCAAACTTTGGTTGAAAGCTTTATTAAGGGGAAATATTTCGGGAAGAAACGAACTTGAGGCAGAGGCGGCCTCGGGCCTGATTTCCATGATGGTGGCCAGATGGCCTCGTTTCGCATCGGACACCGTGATGGTCCTGAAAACCTTCTCCTGGTAGACGGTGCCGACGGAGACGGAGCAATGGAGCTTGAGCCCCTGCTCCTGGTGGTGCTTCGTCACTCGGAGCTGCAGGCCCAGGGTGGATTTCTCCAGGCCTTTGCTGTTCCTCTGGGGCAGGTACTCCTTCGTCTCGTCCAGCTGCAAGCAGAACGGTTTTAGATCGGATCAGAACGAATTCTTTTTCGAGTTGATTGCCTTGATTCAATAGGACGGCTGATTAAGTGGGATCGGGGCAAGAAGTAGAAACCAATTCGTGGTTTTTCGCTCGTTTCCACGCTTTCTTGTTCAAAATTGCCTCCTCCAAGAAGAAAACTGAGGATTTCTTCATTAGAGATTCATGACAGCCCTCTCTGCAGATTTCTTCTCACCATTCATCATACCTCCTTCTTTGCTCGCTAAATTGCAAGACAGCTATTTTCTCCCTTCTTCGAATGAAGTAAAACGTGACGAAGCCTTGTTGCCAACCAAGTGCGAAGATGAATTAAGAATGAAGCCGGCACGCGTGGGTCTCAAATTACGATGGGATGGTGATGGCCCGCTTTCGACTGGGGACTCCCCGCACACGCCCCACCCAAGCTGCCTATCTGGGATTGGATGGGCCTCCCTGTGTCTCCCCTGTGTCTCATGATGTTTTCATGCTCTGCCTGCCTGCCTGCCCAATCGATGCCAATTCAATCAGGTGCATCTCTCCTCGGGTGACACTTTCCCTCGTTCCATCTTCTGTCATATCCCCCGTAAATGATGCAGGCCTATGATCAGAGCTGCCATACTTGTTTTGCGCACTATGACTTCGTGAACAGTGACTTCCAGGACAGTGACTTTGTGGACTGTGGCTTCATGGACTCCTGGACAGGATGCCCATGAATTCCTTGAAAACTCGTTACAGAAAAACGGACAGCTCATTTGTTCATTTTTCATTGCTCAAAACTGCTGTTAGCTGATGATGCTGAAGCTCGAAGAGTTTCCGAGATGTCGAAGATTAAGTTGCATCAGATATATTACAAGAATTTGTGGTCAGATACAGGGACGCAACTGCTCAATAGACCAACTCATCACTTGGAAATTTCCCTTTGTTCGCCGATCACTTTAGGTCGAGTCTCGCTCGAACCCCATTCAAACGTAAACAGCAATAAATTATTACAATTACAATTAGTACCGTCTCCCAAGGGTGTCATGGAAACCCGATGTCCTCGTATTAAGGTAACAGGTCTAATGATACCCATTCGCTCGCGCAATGGCTTCTCTTTAGCTAATGAATAGCTCCATACATTAAATATAACCTATACTCCTTCCGTTTCTTACTGGCTCGCTGGGATCATCAACCCTCTCCAGAACCCTTCCCAAACTCTTCCAGAACCCTTCTCAGAACCCTTCTCAGAACCGTTTCCAGAACCCTTTCTGGAGCGAATCACGAGTCGTACATCAGAGTCTCCGACCCGATTCATGGCGATCCGGGGCCAAGGGAGCCGAGTTAACTCAATTGGCTCATCTCGGCACCTTCCGCGAAAGGAAGGCCTCGCCGGATGCAAAGTGCCGCAATGGGAATGAAACATGTATGAAGGCGGAGGCACGCAAAGGCTTTTCGCGACTTGCCGAGATGAGACTCCTTGGTATTTCATTATCTGTCTCTTGCAAGGAGCATGCAGCGCGAAGAAGCATAATCAATTTCAATAAGCATAATAAATGTTGAATAATTACATAACAAATGCTAAATAAATATGCAAAAATGTAAATAAATATATATATATAATATCTAATGAGTATAATGCTGATAAAACAACATTTCTAACAAATATTTATCAAATATGCAAAAAAGATTGCAATAAGTACTTAATGTCTTAGGATCGAAAAACGTTTAACACCTATTCAACAAGTATTTTGAACCCCAACATTTGATCGGGATCCCAGCCGTCAAGATTTCCTCGATTCATTTCACGGGCATCGAAGCGGATGGAAATGGAAAAGAATTCGGAGAGGATGGGACTCTGGAGGATCATTCGTGATACACTGTCCTGTGTGGTTTTGATCATGGAAGTGGAATCGAACAAGGCTGATAAAGGCCATTCTTCATGCTAAATGGCCGTCAAACCGAAGGAAAAATGGGTCCGGGGGAGTTCCTCGGCTCTCCTGCATAGGCTAATGGAGTGCTGCTCATATTTCATGGCTTTATATGTGGAGAGCTTCCTCTCGGCTTCCCCATGCTCCTGTTTTTTTTTTGCCTTTTTTTTTCCCTCTGTGTGATCATTTCACAGCTTCATTCGTTACCCTCCTCCTTCCATGGAAACATATGCCATTCCCCCGTGGGGGCCGGGGTCTCCCAGTTTCATTTCTTTTTATGGCTCCTGCCATTTTTCACTTATCGACTGGGAGCTTCGAAATGCAGGACCTCCGCGATTTCAAAAGTGAACTAATGAGATGAACTTCCTCGTCCAGAGCGGCGAGGAAGCCGGAAGATTTACTTTACTGCAACCTTACTAATTTCTTATTACTTATTTAACATAATTATATCACCTCGACACCAATTATTCCAAGCCAATAACAGAGGCGGAGACACCGCCATCGTCGATACTCGAAACGGAGGAGGAAATGCGTTCGAAGATGGAAACGTGCTGGAGAGGCCATGTCCGATCTCATCCTCTTCATTATAACGGGGTCATTAACATGCCATCCAGTGAAAAGCCCTTTGGATTATCTCCGATGACACTTGATCGAAACGGGATGAATCCCTCACATATCCGTCTTAATGGATTCTCCCCTTTGCCCCCCTCGCCCCCCATGCTCCCCTTTGCCCCCCATCCGAATTTGTTTCAATTTTGCAATACGTTTACGAGACATTTCGTTCTCGCTCCATCCTTCATCATTTTTCGGCGTTGGGTGGCATTCATGAGGGCATGGTGGCATGAGGGCAGTTCGCTGAAACACTTGTGAACAACACGGAACGGTTGTAGCAGATAATAGATGAGTATGAGAGTGAAGGGTCATCAGTCATCTTCAATGCCGATGAGGAGGAAAGATGGTGATTCCCCCTTTGTCTGCCTAAGCCTTTGATGACACGTTTTTAATAATAATAAATTAATCTTCGAAATGTGAAATTTCCTTGGCCTCACGAGAGTTCCTACCATTGTGTTTCGCTGGGAATGTTAGAACAGGTTCACGAACTGCGACGGCGACTGAAGCATCAGCAGGACAACCGAAACCCACAGTGCGCCGATGATGCGACCCACAGATGAGCGTCTGTGGGTCACATCATCGTGGAAACCGAAAACCTCCAGCGACCATCGCCGATCTTGTCTCGCTTCGCTGTGCATGCGCCCCGCCGATATCTCTCGTTCGTTTTGTATAGAAGAGGGAGCCTTTCGTCGGGCTGAATCATGGCCAGTCATCATCAACACGGGCTTATCTGTATCTCTCTGCCTTCTTTCTTCTATTTAACACTCTTCCCCCATCCCTCTCCCTTCTATACATTCCCTCCCCCACCCCCTTTCCCCACCCCCGTCAGCACCATCACAACACCGACAGGAAGAGAGATATGGCGAACAAATACCCCCATCCACTCATCTCTTTTCCCAATCTACCCTCTTTTCCGAAGCGGGGGGAGGGGGTAGAGGGGGAGAACCAAGCCACGGACGAATTTTCCTTGACGTAATATACGATTCCGTCCGATCCGCAAACACGACGCATTTCGAAGGCAGCCAAATCCATCAAAACCCCAATAAACAGCCTCCATCGTGCAGATAAATGCAGATCCATACCGAGACTAACAAGGACAGATGTCCCTCCTCAACCGCATCGAACCGATGCCTCACTGTCGTCCAATCCCCCTCTACCCACGTTTCCTTGCCATCCCATGTTTCCCTGCCATCCCATGCTTCCTTGCCATCCAATGCCTCCCTGCCATATCCTCCCCGGGAATGAAAGATTGAGGGGGGTCAGCCCCTGTGACAGGTAGGAAGACTGGGAGAAAAGGAAGTCGAGGCCTGATTGAGACCTAAGGGGGAGTACGGGGGTTGCATTATAGATGATGTGACTCCATGCTATCGGTCACGCTTCTCGATCCCCCAAATGGAATCCTCCCCGTATCGAACCCAGTCAAAAAGCCAATATCCCATCCTCCTCTTCCGTGAATGCTCATGTCAAATTCCTCGGGAGGAAAAGGAGACGTGCTCTCATTAATCAATCTTCCATGGGAAAGGCTTCAATTTTTTTTCTCGAGGGGATTGCCCTTTGATGGCTCCGCAGTCGTTTCTTCCCCTTCGTGCAAAACAGCTCCATGCCAATATCTGT